GAGCGGTCTAAGGCGCTGGATTAAGGCTCCAGTCTCTTCGGGGGCGTGGGTTCGAATCCCACTGCTGCCAATGCACATTTTCCAGAATTTCTCATACAAGGGCTATTCTATTTTCTCATACATTTGCAATAAAGGGCTATTCTATTTCTATCTAAAGAACATTTCAAAGAATCGATTAGGATCCTTTTCATGATTCTTATTAAAAGAAAAAGCATAGACACAAAAAACTCAAGTGCGTCCTTTGGCACATCCGAATCTCTTACTAAGTCATTAAACTCTGGCTTAGTGAATAACTGGAGGACAAATGAACTACTGGATAATGGATCTTCAAAGTCTGAATCTGCATCTGGAGACAAAACATCATCAGATCTTCTTCCTCATCAACTAACCCAATAAAAATCAGAGAGGGTATTTCATATAAACATGGTACAGGTCTTATTGTAGATGGGAGGTTAGGGCAACTGATAGATGATTTAGTTTTGGAAGTTCATCCAGAAATATTAACTAAACAGTGGTAGTCATCAAAATGACTCTGTGACTCCCTATATACCACGGGAATACCAAAAACCCAGCCTCTTCCCCTTAGTAGAATTACAACACACACCCTGCTCAACTAAATGAGGTCCACATGGCTGGTTCTGTTCACCCAGTTTCATACCAAAATAACCAAAGGATCCTGTTATAGCGGTAATAGAGCAAAGGGGATATCATTTGTTAAGTCAATCAATCAAAGCCAAAATTAGTAAAGAGCAAGTGTTAGATTTCACACGCATTGCACACAGTTGATGTGTAACATTACAACTCTAGATATACAAATCCAAACACAATAATCTCTTTTATCAACCTATTCTTTGTCCTCTAGAGGACAATGGACAGATGATTGGAAAATTTGGTATTTTTGTTAGTAAAATGTTTGCAGTGTAACTTCATTCATCATAACTGATTTGCATTTTCAGCTGTCCAGAAGATGGCACAGGCCCATTTGTCCTCACTTGACATGAAGTCTGTAGACACAGAGTCCTCTTCAGGGGAAGAAGAGGAGCAACATGATGAGGAAAGGCAGCAGAAAGCCTCAGGTGGGTAAGCTAGGATAGGCTTTCCCATTTTTGGATTTTTGCTGGCAACTATACCAAGTATGGACATTTACACTTTGGAAATTTCTTTTCATGTTGGATCTAAAAGAAGAAAGCAAGGCACAGAGGGATCAGCGTGGTCTCCTGGACAGTCTGACAGAAGGTCATCGCAACAAAGACAAAGAGGATGCCAAAGAAAGAGAGGAAGGAAATGCAGAATGACAAATGAAGAGAGCCCTGATCGAGACAGTTTTATGATGAATCAATATGCATAGCACATGTGTGTGCCGTACATATGCGTGTATGGATATGTGTATGAGTGTGTATTAATTGGGTCTGTGGGTTTGTGGAAACATACAGTGTAAAAGAGGAATGTGGAGAAAAAAGAGAAACACAACAGAGATTATATGATGAAGGTCAGAATATCATTGAGCTGACAGAGGAAATCTTTAGCTGGAGACTTGTGAAGGAAACTGTGTCGCCGTCAGCCAAAGAAACGAGGGCTAAATTCCAATCAGCCAAGGACGCTGCACAAGAAATATAAGAATAGCTAAGAACTCTCGTATTTTCACAAAGCATTCATTAGTTCAAAAAGGTGTTTTGTTTTTGTTTTGTTTTATTCACTTTGAAGGTCTGGGAATACTGTGAGACATCTGAGTTTGAAGAATTAGAATTTAAATAGGCTTTGTTGACATCATGTAAAAGGGGCATGAGCTGAAGTGACACGGGTGCTAAATTTACAGTTCACGTCCGATTAGAAGCAAAAGAAGTACATAAAGAAATCAAATGCCAAATGTCACAGTGGGTAATGAAGATACATCTGCAGCTAATGTGTGTGTTGTACAAATGCACAAGATTATATTTTGTACGTAGTATCAGTGCAGACAGTAACAGACTGCAGTGCGATGACCATAGCCAGTTTCAACTGGAATTTAGCTCAGAAACTGTGACACTGCTTTCAGAGTTATGTCCATCTCTGACGTTTGCTTTCCTCAGTCTTTCAGACATTTGTCTGCAAGGTCAAGAAATCAAAAGACGGAGGATTACAGACGAATTCAGCGCAGTCACAGTAGACCAGATTATATCCTAACAGATTAATCCAACTAATCACGATAATGCAGCAAACTGTTTCAGGCTAGATATTTTAAACTGGGGTTTTTTGTTTTTTTGTAACATGGAGATTAGTGGACATGATATGTTTGGGATGCCACACATGTTAGCTTGATAGTGAAATAAAATCTACCTGATTTTCAGAAACATCACATATGAAGGTTCATTCATGACCCTGTACATAAACACTGTTTCGTGCCGGTTGATAATAAATCATTTATGAGGCTGTTGGTGTTTGTGTATTTGTATGCTTAATGCTTCTTTTCCTTGAAAGACATATTTCATTTGATTTTTATTCAAACCAAACCATGTCACCATATTTAGGCCATATGTAGCTTAAGCTCAAACTTTTTTTTTATGTTTGTGGGATTTAACCAAGAGTATTTGTGTTCTTTATCAGTACACACTCACCTGCCAGTTTATTGCGTTCACCTGCTCAACTGCTTATTAATGCAAATATCTGACTAGCCAATCACAATGCAGTAACTAAATACATTTAGGCATGTAGACATAATCGCGAAGACCTGCTGAAGTTCAAACTGAGCATCAGAATGAGGAGGAAAGATGGTTGACTATAAGTGAATCTGGATATTTCATAAACTGCTGATCTACTGGAACTGTCCCATGCAACCATCTCAAGAGGATACAGTCATGGTCTGAAAGAGAGAAAATATTCACTGACCTGCAGCTCTGGGTGAAAATGCCTTGTTGTTGTCAAACAAAGTTTACAGAAGAACATCACTGAGTGCACAACAGGTTAAAATTTGAATCAGATGGTTTACAGCAGCAGAAGACCACACCTGTGCTGTTACTGTCGGCTAAGAACAAGAAACTGAGGCAAAAATTTGCTCACCATGGAAAAATGCTGTCTGATCTGATGAGTACTGATTTTTCAGAATCTAGTGTAAACAAGCCTGTATCCAACCTGTTGATGGTTCAGGCTGGTGTGGTGGTGTAATAGTATGGGTAATATTTCTTGCCACACTTCAGGCCACTTTAGTATCAATGAATCCTTGTTTAAAGCCAGAGCCTCAATAATGTTTTTGACTATATCCATCCTTTTCTGTGTACCCACAGTGTACCCATCATCTGGCTCCTTTCAGTAGGATAACGTGTCATGTCACAAAGCTCAAATATTCCAAGCCTGGTTTGTTGGCATGACAATGAGTTTCCTGTACTAAAATAATCTCGACAGTCACCAGATGTGGGAGGAAAAGTGGTACCGACTACATAGAGCCCCAGTAGTAGAAGAGAGCGTGTAAACCCAGAATGAAAAGCTTTTTCTTGCAATTTTTTGCCCCTAATAAATATGTGCTACAATTAAATTGCTTGAATAAATTAGTTGGGTGAATGAACTTTGATTCCTCAAACGTTCATCACTTACAAACAAGCTGAAGGAAGCCAGCTCTTTCAAAACAGATGTGACCAGACCATAACTAATGGGTTAAGAATGGTTTGGCTATTAGCAGTTGTTAAAAACAACTTAACTCCAGGAAACTCAAGGTCCTTAATTCCAGGAACAGCCAAAAAGTGAAGCAGTGGGAGCTTGTGTTCTCATCTATATCGAGTGCAGTCTCAACCAAAAGCTTAGCACTACGCTTTACTGTATGTTGGACCGCCAGTTCTTAACTGTGAGTTATTTTAAGGAAGCCACCGCGTTTCATGCTGATAAAACAGCATTTTAAAATACTAAAATGACACTTCTTATGAATGAAAAGAAAAGAAAAGGTTGTAGGTAGTCAGTTATATCTTCTAATCGCCACGGTATCATTTATTAAACTTCAAATAGTTCTAATTAAAAACCATGGGGCAGCATTACAGCGCAGCAGATCCCTGCATAATATTTCAAAAGTGGATAAATGTACCAAAATGTGCATATTTGTCCCTTTTTGATTTATATGCTTTTGACTTTTAACACATTCTGGTTTGTCTTTATTATTCAGTGGTGGAGAGTAATTCTAATTTCTGCTTTATTGTCTAGCATTTTTCACTCTATAGTCCTAAGAGGTATAAAAGTGGAGAGACATCCTCAGTGACGCACCTTTTTTATAGTGAGTATAACTTCCTACCATCAGGACAAATGTATGGGGTTCCACCTCTGCAAACTTCTTGTGCCAGAAGTTTTTTATGCTTTGCAGTGTAATTGTTGAATAAATCCAGGTGTAACGTCGAGAGTGTCATTTGCACATAGCTGTGCTTTGATTCTGGGTGATGTTTCAGGCCCATCTTGTTAATATCTGTGATGTTTGTAACTGTGACATCTTTATTGTTGTGGTTCTGTTTATCTGAAAGCTGCCCAAAGGGGCAAATTGAATTTCTGGATTATAAATGTTACTGCTACTACATGTATATGGCATCACTAACATTTGTGTTGTGATAACATTTAAAACAAGGGTATCAAACTTAAGGCCGGGGCCCAGATTTTTTGACTTTTAAGTGTATTTTCATAAAATTAATTACTATTATTAGTTGCTCTCAACTAAGGTACCTCTAATTTAGTGTTTCATAAACACAAATAAGTTTGGACACTTATTTTGTTGCTGATAGTGACAGTGTGACGCAAACAACAGAATTTGCTGAGAAACAAGGGTTGAAGATGGAGATTTCAAACTGTCAAACTGTGCATATCCTAGATTATTATTAAATGTGGTGTATAGGGCCCAGAGTTCTGTGTTAGGTCCTGTGCACATCTCTGAAGAATGTTTCCAGCATCCTGTTGAATCTTTACTATGACAAATTAAAACAGTTCTCAAGGCAAAATGAACATGTGAGTGTAATACGTATTACCCAAGGCAACAAGTTAGTTTTGTTAAGCTTTTTTAATGTTAGGGGAACACAAAATAAGCTATTAATAGTGTCTTTACACATTGTAATTAATTTAGAGTACAATTAGTAACCGTTTTGCAGCAATAATAATAATAATAATAATAATAATAACAACAACAATGATATCTCTTTACTAAAGAGATGTGTTAAGGCCTGTGATGAGATTTGAGGAGCAACTCAAGATGATCAAGTAGCGACACCTTGTGTTCAATCCTTCTAATTACACAAAGACGTTTCTAGATGGCAATATAAAATGATTCCCTAAAATAGCACATAGTACCAAGAAAAATAAATAAGCATTGCATTTTTATTCATACAATCAAAAATCATCTCAACCTTTTGAATAATTAGCAGCTGAACGAAGATAAGCACATGCTGTTTACATACGGCTGGGTAATTCCTGTGGGGATTTTATGTGATATGCCTACTGTAGGACTAATGTTTACATTCTTGATGCTGTAGAAACTGCAGGAGGTGGCTGCCTTTACTAAACCAATAAGTGCTTCTGCAGCAAAATAGTCTCTCATTTACTTTCCCTCTTAGAAAGACAGACGGAGGTCCAGAGTAACATGATGAAAATGCGACAAAATGTGGTGGAATAAAGTGAAACATGTCATTCGTGTGGAAACTGGAATACCTTAAAATGACTAAAGCACAGGCTCTAACTCAAAACAGAAATATGTGTGCATTTTATTCTCAGCATTATCAGCAATCCACTTTCTAAATAACTGCTAAACATTTACCCAGGCTTAATCTATATTATTTCCGTCTGAATAGTGACTTATTTAATTTCTTCTTTGAGATTTTTTTTTATCTGCCTTCCTTGCTTTTCTCTCACTTGTTTACTTTCTCCCTTGTTAATCCTTCTTTGCCTTTACAAAAAACACTCCAGTCACATCATCAACCCCCACCCTCATATCCTGAGTCAGTGTGTAAACCTCCAGTCGGATCAGAGTGTATCCACTCTCCTTCAAACTAGTACAGACCTGGGCCTCATTCAGCGGGACCACTGGGATCCTCACCCCAGGCCCCGCAAAATAATAACTCTCCCCGAGGGCTCCGATGAGCATGAGGTGACCACCAGGGCGCAGGAGCTTCCCGATGTGGCCAAGGGCCCTGGTGAAGGCAGCGAGGTCAGGGCTGACACTCTCCAGGCAGAAGCAGGACACCAGACAGTCGGCCCCTGCCAAAGGAAGGGCGTCAGGAGCCAGGGGCTGAGAGCAGTGCACGTCAATGGGGAGGATGTCCGCGATGACCTGACGTAACTTTGCAGCTTTCTCAGTCCACGCTGAGGGCCTGTTTGAGTGAATCATCAAACTGTATAAAACAGCTCTTTCAGACTGGCACCATATTCTAATCAGTGCATGATTTTTTATCATTATCATTAAACTGGCAAGTATTTTATTCTAACTTAGACACTTTTTTCTTGTCTTATTATTAAGAAGAACGCTCCATGATAGAACCCAAAATAAATTGTTATGACACAGAAGGCAACTTCATTCTGAGGACTGTGCAAGAAAAGAGTGTTGCTTCAAGAAAATCAACAAGAAAGAGGAAAATATGTGATCTTGTTTTTCTTTCTCTCTGTCTTTGGTTAGCCATACAAAATACCAGGTATCTAACGTTCACTGAATCTTAGTAACCATCATTTTAAGCTGTACCAAGTCTTTAGCTATAGTTCAAAGTGATCTTTTCCATACCGTCGTCCCTCCAGTTTGCAGACGTGCTGTAGGTATGGTGTCCAGTCAAGACTGCATTGTCCCTCATCCTGCAGCCAGCGCCTCAGCTCCTGCCGGTTCACCTCCAGGAAGTCTGTCAGGAGCACTTTACTAAAAACCTCACAGCCACTCATCACCTGGTACAAGGTGGGACCTGAACCTATGTCCACGAGGAGCTCACCACTCATATCACCTGGGAAGAGGGGAGAAAAAAAGAGCAAAGTGAGATCATGAAGGAAAGTTTTCTTGGTTAAAACATTATCTTATTAGATGTAAAGATCCTGACACTGAATCACTCAGTAAAATAAAAGTGATCATTCATTAAGTAACCTTATAGGAAAAGAAAAAGAGGTTTAGTTGCCTTTTTAAAAATTATTATTTTTATTAGGGACAAGCTCTTCAGCAGTGCTTGGACCCACCCAAGGCTCTATTTGTTTTCTGCTACAAACTAGGATTAATGTGCAATAATAACAGTGTGCAATACACATACACTTATTCTTCTTAATATACTGTGTTGTGTTGTTTGTTGCGTTGTGATCTGTCATATCGTGTCGTGTTGTGTTATATGTAGTGCCGGCGTAGGACAGTTTTCCAATTTCATTGTACTACTGTACTATGTATGACTGTGCAATGACAATAAAGAGTTATCTTATATTATCTTAGGAGAAGGAAAAATGGGGAGATGAAGAAGCAAATGAGTGATGAAGCAAATTTTTATTGCATTTCAGAAACAAAATACGCCAGAACCTCCTTACCTTCAGTAAAAGCTCTGTGCAGGCATGCCAGTTTCCACGGCACAATACTGTCTTTTCTTGTGAAGTCAGCCCGTGGTGGAGTGTAGTTGTACTGTAGATACGCAGCAGGATCAAATCTCCGGTAGCAGGCTTTCATGGCTGCCACTCCATTCTCTCTTCCTTTTTCTTCCATCATCCTGCTTTCTCTGCTGCGATACCTTGCACGTCTGTTTTGGCTGGTCAGTCTTCAGGTAAGCTGCTGAGACCCCTTGAGCTGAATTATATACTTGTGTCTGTGTGTCTCTGTGTGGGTGTATCTGTGGTATTATGCGTGTGCTTTTGCTTTGGGCTACTCTGAGTTTCATGGACAGAGATAGAGATCCTCTTTTTTTAGTCGATGCTGCCTGATAGCATTTGTTCTGTTCACTTTCCCTGCCCTAAGGCACTGATACCATCAGATCAGGGGGCTTCCTCCAACACTAGACCCAATAATGGACTCCTCATATGGCTTTTAGCTCCTTCACCCACCTTTCAAAAGCCTCTCATATCTACACAATCATTCCAAAGGGCCTTTTGGAGTTAAATGGCACTGAGCAGGTTTGTTCTTAGGCAACCCCTTTCGAAAATACAAACAGGTCTGTCTCAAAGACAAACAAGTTTGTCTCTGTCTTCGTTGGCCATTTCGCTTTGTGATTTTTGTACTGAGCTGCAGAGATAAGAAATATCAAGTGGTTGCAAAGTAAAGGCGGGGAAGACTGCCTCTTTACGTATGCCTCACATAGGAAGTCAAAGATTTAAAAAGAAGTTTGAAACTTGTAAAGTCTTTCACTGACACTCACAAAAAAAGGAGAATGCAAAGATTGTTGTCTTGCTAACAATCTTAGCAAGACAAACAATCTTACGGTTTTTAAAATAAAGCTTTAAAAAATATAATTACAATATAATATATATATAATATAAATATAATTACAATGCTCTTGAAATATTTTTATATATACACTCAAACAGAAAATCTTTCTCTTGCTCACCTCAAAGCATTCCTCTGTCCCCTGAGTGTCCACAGACATTTCACACTCTGGAGACTGTAACACACATTGAGACAATTTGGATTGTTATTAGTTCAAAATATGTAAATAGTTGTGAAGCTCTGCTATTATCGTTAGGTTGAGTCTAACACATGTAAGAGCCCCATTTTAATAAAGCTAATTAGGTTTGTGGGTATTAATCAGCAGTGTAATGAAAGATTTATTTAATAAATACTTTGCAATTTAATCCTTTAAATTTAAATTCATTAGAATATGTAAATGGTTAATTATGACTGAGAAAAGAAAGAAAATACTGATACTGTCTGAAAAGAAAACGACAAAGACAGATGCATTCAACGTTTATCTGTGATCAGCATTGTTTAAGACAAACAACAATCACAATGTATAAAATCCAGGTGAAATTCCAGTACCAACCAGAAAAAACAATGCAAAGGTATCAGATGCATCAGGGCTGCTAAATCACACACAATCCACAACAATATAAAAACCACCGGGACTGGAAATATAAAAATATGTTTCCACTAAAGTTATCAGACATAATAATATATAAAATGCACATTAAACATTCTGTAACTAAGTTTCTACTACTTAAAAAAATAAACAAATACTCTGAAAACAGATATCAATGGGGGAGAAAATTCTGCTGGATATGTACAGGGAGTGCAGAATTATTAGGCAAGTTGTATTTTTGAGGAATAATTTTATTATTGAACAACAACCATGTTCTCAATGAACCCAGAAAACTCATTAATATCAAAGCTAAATGTTTTTGGAAGTAGTTTTTAGTTTTAGCTATTTTAGGGGGATATCTGTGTGTGCAGGTGACTATTACTGTGCATAATTATTAGGAAACTTAACAAAAAACAAATATATACCCATTTCAATTATTTATTTTTACCAGTGACACCAATATAACATCTCCACATTCACAAATATACATTTCTGACATTCAAAAACAAAACAAAAACAAATCAGCGACCAATATAGCCACCTTTCTTTGCAAGGACACTCAAAAGCCTGCCATCCATGGATTCTGTCAGTGTTTTGATCTGTTCACCATCAACATTGCGTGCAGCAGCAACCACAGCCTCCCAGACACTGTTCAGAGAGGTGTACTGTTTTCCCACCTTGTAAATCTCACATTTGATGATGGACCACAGGTTCTCAATGGGGTTCAGATCAGGTGAACAAGGAGGCCATGTCATTAGTTTTTCTTCTTTTATACCCTTTCTTGCCAGCCACGCTGTGGAGTACTTGGACGTGTGTGATGGAGCATTGTCCTGCATGAAAATCATGTTTTTCTTGAAGGATGCAGACTTCTTCCTGTACCACTGCTTGAAGAAGGTGTCTTCCAGAAACTGGCAGTAGGACTGGGAGTTGAGCTCGACTCCATCCTCAACCCGAAAAGGCCCCACAAGCTCATCTTTGATGATACCAGCCCAAACCAGTACTCCACCTCCACCTTGCTGGCGTCTGAGTTGGACTGGAGCTCTCTGCCCTTTACCAATCCAGCCACGGGCCCATCCATCTGGCCCATCAAGACTCACTCTCATTTCATCAGTCCATAAAACCTTAGAAAAATCAGTCTTGAGATATTTCTTGGCCCAGTCTTGACGTTTCAGCTTGTGTGTCTTGTTCAGTGGTGGTCGTCTTTCAGCCTTTCTTACCATGGCCATGTCTCTGAGTATTGCACACCTTGTGCTTTTGGGCACTCCAGTGATGTTGCAGCTCTGAAATATGGCCAAACTGGTGGCAAGTGGCATCTTGGCAGCTGCACGCTTGACTTTTCTCAGTTCATGGGCAGTTATTTGGCGCCTTGGTTTTTCCACACGCTTCTTGCGACCCTGTTGACTATTTTGAATGAAACGCTTGATTGTTCGATGATCACGCTTCAGAAGCTTTGCAATTTTGAGACTGCTGCATCCCTCTGCAAGATATCTCACTATTTTTGACTTTTCTGAGCCTGTCAAGTCCTTCTTTTGACCCATTTTGCCAAAGGAAAGGATGTTGCCTAATAATTATGCACACCTGATATAGGGTGTTGATGTCATTAGACCACACCCCTTCTCATTACAGAGATGCACATCACCTGATATGCTTAATTGGTAGTAGGCTTTCGAGCCTATACAGCTTGGAGTAAGACAACTTGCATGAAGAGGATGATGTGGACAAAATACTCATTTGCCTAATAATTCTGCACTCCCTGTATGTACTGGTATGACTGGGTAATGTGTTAAGACATTTTAAGGAAATGAAAATGATCATCCTACAGTGGCTAAGTTAAAAGATAGCTTGAAAACCAAAGTGAAAAAAAAAGATGTACCAGGCTTTTTTTATGCCAAAGTTTCAGCAGCAATCAAAAATGGTTTACAGTTTGTTTGTCGTCTAGATGTTTATTTGCATGTCTGACACTCCTGGATGGTCTGAGGTGCAACCTGTTGGGGTCAGACAGACGGAAACATAAAGTTGATGCTACACTGATCACTGATTAAAATGTGTTCTTTAAGTTTTTTTTTGACCAGTGTTTATTCCCTAACACCACTGTATATGTCTGTATAAGTTTTGGAGGAGAGGGTCTTATTGCTTTATATTCTGAACATGACAAGATTCAACCATATCAGTGTGCACTTTTACTCGGGCTATACTCAATGTTTAGAGGTAAATGTGAATATCGGTACACTGCTCACAGTTCAAATAAAAACACGTTGATGTTATGCAGGTATAATGTGCAGTCTGCTCAAAACTGTTAAATATTTCACGATGCTAACACTTCTAACAAGAACTGAAGACAAAGTACACCTGAGGTTGATATACCCTAGTAGTTATCAAGAGGGCGACGTGAATGTGTATGTCCTAATAATTCCATGAAATCGTTGTGGAGAACACAAAAATAGTTAAAAAAGAGTTAAAAAGAGCCAAAAATAAACAGAATTAAAATGTTGCACCACCCACTCGCACAGACATGTTTGTGGATTAGTGCAGGCAGGAGTACGGTAAGGGTCAGTTCCTTCCCCTGAGTCAGATAGACAGATAATAGAGCAAAGGAGAGGAGGAACATGGAAGAACAGATAAAGGGGATAAAACAGACAACAGAGAAAAGAACAGGTCAGGTATAATGGAATAATACACACTTAGCCAGAACAACAGGAGTCAATTTAGTTATCTATAGTCCCAGGGGCAGTGGGGGTTCAACAGTGTGAGTCAAGTCTCCTCTGGGTTACTCTATTTTGTTGAAGCACAATAGTGTAATTACAAAAATACAAAAGCAAAATAAATTCATGTTTTGATATTTTTTTAACTATATGGAGTAACTGAAATATAGGTGACAAGGTAATTATAGAAGTGCAGGACATGATTTCAGCATCCACCACTTCCAGTTACTTTTAAATTGACTAAATGAGAATAATACAGGACGCATTTAATGAAAAATATTTTCGTTTCAAACTGCGGTGGCCCTCTGTATCATTACAAGTCCTAATGTGAGGTTATGGGTTGGAAAAGCATTTAGAATATATAGATTCCTTAAGTCACCATCAACACACAAGTCAGGATTTTTATTAAACAACACAATTTATTTTTGATGATCTATCTTTTGTTTTACTAGAAACTCTTACCTATTCATCACCCCTTACCTCTGGTGCTCCTCCACCAATGTCACTGGAGTAGAGTACTGTCAGTATTACAGTAGTGACTAACAGCATTGTACGACAGCATGACTGTCGGGTGGCAGGGGTTTATTTTGAAAAGTGAAAAAAATTACCGTCTTCCGTTCTTCTTCCGCATTTCGCCGGCCGGCCTGACGTCATCTCCTACCACTTCACAGCCAATGTACAAGGCGTCGGTTTTTATTTTTAAATATCAGACTACAGAGTGAGAGTTATTAGTTTATTGTAGTTATCAGTATAATATCTTTAACGAATATTTTTTTAAACGAAGCGAAACGCTCCGTGTTCATTCTCTTTGCTGTAAGCTGCAGCAAAAGTTTCATCACTTAGGGGAGGAGCCGTGTCCGTCTGTGTTCAGAGCACTGCTGTGATAAATGAAGGAATCAAAGCTTAAAGAAGAAGAAGGTGAACAAGAATTAACAGAAGACAGGGGCTGGTTAGCACGCAGGACAACATATACCGGGACTTCAGGAGGTTAAGTAAGAAGAAACATCTTAATATGCATGGAGCAGGAGGTTTATTTATATTTTGACTGTGCACGTGGATGCAAGCAATCAGGTTTCATGTTGCTATGCAAGAAGACGTCTTAGGTGGATGGAAAAAGTTGATGTATTTGTCCTACTGGTGTTTCTGTCTCTATTAAAGACCATAAAAATGACCATGCTGCTGCTGAGGCTCACCCTGTGTTCAAAGATCCCCCCGGATTCACCAAGACACTTAAGCCAGCTGCTCTCCAGAAAACTGACACAAGGCAAGTAATCCAGTGCTTTATGTGCCTTAACCAAATTTCCCCTTGTGGGACAGTTAAAGGAATAGATTCTTCTATGTGTTAAGATAATATTGTGGCAGTCTGGGCTGTATCAAAAAAGTTATTTCTGGTATTTGCCCCCCAAAAAAACCAAAACAAATTTAAACTTGTGTCTTGATGGCCTGTAATCTGTCAAACATATGTGAAACATATTTATCTCTAATGAATGATGAAAAGCATTTTGAGCCAGAAAGAACATTTTTGTCTCAATATAGAAGCCTCAAATGGTTTTTGGCAAAGTCACTTTTATATATCCTTTATTTTTGGAGGGTAAAATGTGTAAATTGACATATAAAATGTATTTTTTCAATGGAAATCCGTCCATGAAAACAGGGCAAATGACATCAGATATACCATCACAGTGCTATAAAGATATTTTAAGTGACCAAAAAGGACTGTATTGATTATAATGTAGGTACAATAACACAGAGTCATGGAAAAAAAACTTGTATAACAAATAGTTTTCCTCGTTTTATTTATAACCCCTCTGTAAAACCTGTTGACTGTCTGTTTACCAATATAAGCAAAGCTGTTACACATAGAAAACACACAGAAACATTAAAAATCTCTTTTTGGCAGTCGAACACCAGCAAGTAAATGTAATATGTCAATTGCTTTATTAATCCCAGGACAGAAACTTTTTGATATGTGGTAAATCACTTCAAAATAATAATTCTTCATGCAAATCTTTTTTCCCAGAGGACTGTCTAAGAATTGGTTATGAAAACAGACATTTTAAAGACAATAACTATATATTGTGACTGTTGTTTCGGTTAATCATCACACATATAGACCAGCGATTGATCCAGAATTAAACAAATAATCACAAATGTTTTTATAGTGTATTGGTCACATGCTCAAACATTAAACGATTTGATTTTGTAGGTCAGGGCAGTTTCTGACCTGCTCTACTCTGTAAAAGATGTCACCGACTGCTCTCTTTCTCCTTGTTTTTTTCCCCCTCCTTTTTCTTTCTTTTTTTTTTTTTTTTGGTGCGCTCTCTCTGTCCACAGAGATGTGTAATGTCAGCACAGGCTTTCTCTGAGTGTCCTGCTGATGTGGCAGTTTGCAGGCTGTGATTATCTGTTTCCCAGGTTGCAAATGGATGTGTGGAAGGGCCTCACACTGTTTGCTTCATTCATGTAATCAATGAAACGGAAACCCAGCAAAAAAAAAAAAAAAATGGTTGTTTGAAGTGGTCAGTTAAAGGAAAAATATTTACCCAGATAGTGTTACATCAGCAAATGTGGAAGGGAGACATTTTTAAACTACAATAAGTAAAGAGATGTACACTCACTTGCCACATATTTGTTACGCCGTGCTTGTACTGAGTTGGACTCCTTACCTTCAGATCTGCCTTAATTCTTTGTGGCATAGATAGCATCATGCAATTGCTGCAGATTTGTCCGCTCCACATTCATGATGCCCTTCTGCATGCCTTGGTTGTGACAAATATTTATTTGTATTACTGTTGCCTTCCTTTCAGCTCAAAACTGTCTGGATATTCTGCTCTGATCTCTGACATTAACAGGGGATTTTTTTTCCCAGGGAACTCGCCACTCACCGGATATTTTCTCTTTTTCTGACCATTCTCTGTCAACTAGATCAGCAGTTTTTGAAATACCCAAACCAGCTCATCCATCGCCAACAACTATGCAACATTGAAAGCCACTTAAATCACCTAATATTCACTTTAAACTCCAGCAGGTCATCATGACCATGTCTACATGCCTAAATGCATTTAGTTGCTGCCATGTGACTGGCTGATTAGGTAACTGCATTTTGCTAGCTGTACCTCGCAAAGTGAATGCTGAGTGAATGTAATCAGGCATTATGAGATCATCTTAGTATTTAGTCTAGTGGGCAGCATCATGAACATTATGTTAGCAGCTGGCTCTTATTAAGCACAGTACTGAAAAGTTAAGTGTGATTAATAAGCAGAAAAATATCTTCCAGGTGGCCAGGGCAGGGCTCATAGCAGCTCCTTCGCACACCGCAGTGAGCTGCGTCAGGCCAAGAGGATCGTAGTTAAGCTCGGCAGTGCCGTCGTTACACGTGGAGATGAGTGTGGCTTGGCTCTTGGGAGGCTGGCCTCGATTGTGGAGCAGGTGAAAAAACAAATAAAATGATGCACTCTATACATTTTACAGATTATTGTGTAGAAAATTCTTGACACGGGGGTAAAAATCAGGTAACACAAGCTTTGACCTAACTGTTTTAAAATTCAGTGACGTGGAAACCAATCTGTGGGTTTTCATGATGTTTCCCATCTACTGATGATGTTTTAATGTCCCTTTTTCCTTTGATTCAACTCATTTTCTATCTCTCTGTAGACACATGTACTGTAGTACTTGGTACAGATAGTACAAAATGGACATTTATCACCAAGTTACAGAATGTATGGGTTCATAATTGGTTAAAACTGAGCTTTAAATCAAAATCATTAGTGAGCCTGAAGAGGAAGAAAATAGCCCCAGCAGTGAAACTAAATGGGTCCGTTGTTGCGCAGGTGGCTATGTTGCAGAATCAAGGCAGGGAGATGATGATTGTCACCAGTGGAGCTGTGGCCTTCGGCAAGCAAAGACTGAGACATGAGATCCTGTTGTCCCAGAGTGTTCGGCAGGCGCTCCACTCTGGACACAGTCAACTCAATGACATGGTGAGAAAAGATGGGAACTTAGGGTATCTCAGAAAATAAAGATGCTGATGTTAGCTGAAAACTTTGCCACTTTGCTGACAAGGTAAGTCAAATCTTCACCAAATGCTTTAGATTTTCTTCAGTGTGAAAATACAATGAAATATCATCCCAATATAATCCCACAATAATTTCTATTATTTTGAAGCTCATTGTTTACAGTTAATTAAAACTTTGTTTATGCTATGGTGCTTTATCAGACAGTTCACTTGAACAAACACGTGCACTTCAGTGCAAATACTATCATATGTTGCACTAGCTTACATTTATTCTTCTTTGTGTATAGAGTGTGTAGGTCACACTTTTCTGTCTAGCTTATAAATTGCACTTGGTCGGTGTGGTGTAATTTGTCTTTGTGTTTGTTTGTGTTTCAGTCTTTGCCGGTGCTGGAGGCCCGAGCCTGTGCTGCAGCTGGACAGAGCGGTCTGATGGCCCTGTATGAAGCCATGTTCACCCAGTACAGCACTTGTACAGCACAGGTGCTTTGCAAAATTCTTGCTTAATTAATTACTACTGCTTAAATTTTCCCCTCACTACATTTTCTGATTTTGTGCCGTCAGGTCCTGGTGACAAATCTGGATTTCCACGATGACCAAAAGAGGCAGAACCTGAACAGCACACTGCGGGAGCTGCTGCACATGAACATCGTGCCAATCATCAACACCAATGATGCTGTGGTGCCCCCTCCGGAGCCCAACAGCGACCTGCAGGGGGTAAATGTGGGTACAGGCAGCATGGGGGCACCGCTGGTTGTAGTGATGGTGGCAGCAGGGGTGGCAGACGGTGTTTATGATTTATTTTTATTTTTTTAACATCCACTATTCATTAACTACAACATTTTCTATCTTACACACACGCACACACGCTGAAACACCTCTGCCACCCCCACCTTACCTTGTCAGCTCTGCAATCAACCATAAAGGCATGTGTATGCAGGGAGGGGATAGACAGCAGTGCATGTGATCACCGGGCATCCTGTGAGGATAACTTACCTCTTTTTATCAGATTATTTAGCTTCACTTTCTACTACGTTGTATTTGTATTATTAATATTACTAATTATTGACTTAGGCAGCTAGAAGACTACTACTTATAAGTCAGTGGTATAACTTTAGGTTTTCTTTAATTAACAGAAAACAGTTGTTTTCGGGAAAAAAAACTTTCTAGCAAAATCGATATTTTAATAAAAATAACTACCTATTTTATGTAATTTATCTGCTAAAATTTATGCCGTGGTGAGAAATCTACACTGTATGTATGTCACAACTACAAATCTTACATTGTAACCTGGCGTGCACCTCCCTAGTAATCACAATGTTTGGCCTGTTCAGTGCTTTTTTTCGTTACATTTTCGCTGCAGTTTTTGAATTTATCAGTGAGAAAATAACAATCATTACCTCAGTGTAAGGAATAATAATCTTAGCATCAATGTAAGGACACTAATTTTCTGGTGGGAGATTTCCAAAATCTCTACAAAGATTCATCTCCAATGTCTAAATCAGCTATTAGAGTGGCCACACCTACTTTTGTATCGTTTAACTTTAGGTTGTCCTGAAAGGAGTCAGTGTTAACTTCACAGTTCTGTCCAAATGCAGTCACATCTGATGGGGAAAAAAACAACAAAAAAGGCCAAACCTCAAGCATCAAAAAGCTCTTCACAAGCTTATCTCTGAGTTGATCAGCTCTGTTTAACATTTTCCAGATGTTGCTGCCAACAATGTTGCAGAGTCATATGTATTAACATATTTGTGTTTCAGTTTATCTGCTTAGTTCTGTCTTTAAAAAATAAGCTCATGGGTTACTCTCTGCTGCCGCTTTTCTGCCTTCAGGAGCTTACATGAGCAATTTTCTGTTTCTGCAGGTGATCAGCATTAAGGACAACGACAGCCTGGCAGCACGGCTAGCTGTAGAGATGAAGGCTGACCTGCTCATCGCACTCTCTGATGTGGAGGGTATGTGTGTCACTGCAACAACACTCTGGGTCAGCTGTTAGGTAACAACACCATCTGTCTGGTCACTTTGCTGACGGGGGGAAAAAACATCCCTCTCAGGGTCAATGGAGAGCCATATGAGAAAGACAAACACACACCTTCTGCCTTCGTGTTTGAAACTAATGCTGATGGAGCTGACACATGGCGTCCATACACACACAGAATCACGGCTGCAGTCATTCAGCATCATCTGGATGGCTTTTAGAATATTAAATAAAACAAAACTTCAGCAGAGAAGAGTGATCATAGTAAATTATCATATGATTATGCACAATAAAAGGGTACTATCCAGGATTTTCCTTTTAAAGAGGTTGACTTATGCAAAAATAGTACCTTTCAATCATCACATAGGGCTTTCTTATCAACAGAGATCTTGCAGTTTCTTTCTATATCTGTATTATTACGTGTTTGGGATGTTTCTGAGGATATAACCTTTGCTTTGTTGTTGCTAACTAAACTATATTCACCAGCTTTGTTTATGGCTTTAGTAACATTAGCAATAAAATGGATGTGGGAACAATTTAGGCTGATGTGTAAATGCTGGTTATTTTCATCTCAAACAAATAAGTCATATGCGTAATGGTCATATTGTAGGACTATACAACAGCCCCCCTGGAACAGATGATGCCAAGCTCATTGACATCTTCTACCCTGGAGACCAGCAGTCCATCACCTATGGTACAAAGTCTAGAGTTGGGATCGGAGGCATGGAGGCCAAGGTTGGTGAAGTTGCCCATCAAGTCATTACAATAAGGAAAAGTTCAGGTTTTTCCTGTACATTTCTTTTTTTTTGCATCAGTTTTCTACAGAAAATTCTTTTACATAAACCTAAATGAGAAATACAAGCGACCAACAAAACTCAGGGCAGATATCACAGACTGGGGGAAAAATCCTTAAAGTATGAGCGGTGATATATAAAATAAGATGAACAACAAGAGGTCAGATTGTGCTTGTTATTACATGTAACGTGTTGGGATGACCCAACTCTCAGATGGTGTCTTCCAATATGATAATGTTTGCATGTCATATTGGACACGATAAAAGATTGTACGTTTGATTGGACTGAGTATTAAAATTAAGTAAATCTTATACAAATTTTTTTTTTTAAATCTCTGCTTGGCTGCAGGTCAAAGCTGCCCTTTGGGCCTTGCACGGTGGCACCTCAGTGGTTATTGCAAATGGCACCAACCCCAAAGTAACAGGCCATGTCATCACTGACATTGTGGAAGGCAAGAAAGTAGGAACCTTCTTCTCTGAATTTAAACCTGCCGGTGAGTTTACCTGAGCTGAATAAAAAATTTTTATTGCTGTAAAACTGCATCTGCAGGCTCTGATGTTTAATTCTGTCCTGACTCTCCTTCAGGCCCATCTGTGGAGGAACAGACAGAAATGGCGCGCCGTTCTGGAAGAGCCCTTGCATCTCTGCATCCAGACCAGGTGACACATGTTTTTAGATAAAGGACTCGGGCAATATCTTTTATAAACATTTAAAAATGTAAACAGCTCTTTGGGTGCTTTATCACTTAAAGAGAAAAACTGAATTATTTTGTTTACTTGTCAGAGGAGTGAGATCATCTGCCATCTAGCAGATCTGCTGACTGAAAGGAAGGAAGAGATTTTGGCTGCAAACAAGATGGATATGGACCTGGCTGTCAGTGCAGGTAACAGGACACCACATCAAGTCTGTCTGGTTTTTGAAATATAAACTAGACTTGCAGAGACATTTTCTTTGTTTGATGTTTTATGTTGGTATTGTAGTGCTAGTGCTTTCACATTCTCTTAAAAAAATAAGGATAATAAATTCATGTGCCATGTATGTAACTGATTTCCAGACTTCAGCAGCTTTTGCATGTATGTTGCTACAATAACTTCAACATTGAACCTAAGGGATAACATTCTCATGTGTTGCCACCAGAGGGCGACTTTCCCTTTCTCTACATATGAGTTTTATACCTCACTACCTGCTATCAAAGTGTAACTCTGCTATGCCTTCTTTCTGTAGGCCATTTGCCTCCAGCCATGCTGAAGCGTCTCAGTCTGTCACCGGCCAAACTTAACAGCTTGGCAGTAGGTCTCCGCCAGATAGCCACGGCCGCCCAGGACAGTGTGGGTCGAGTGCTGCGCAGGACCAGAGTGGCTCATAATTTAGAGCTGGAGCAGATTACTGTACCCATCGGGTTGCTTCTGGTCATATTTGAGGCCCGACCCGACTGCTTGCCGCAGGTATTGCTGCAGAAGAACTTAAATCTTAACAAAAACATATAAAACACTTGAACATTGTTGACAAAAATTACATATGGGACAATATCAAGACAAGGCTGATATTTGACCTCTTAATGTCCTTGTATTTCATCACACACATGTATTAGACTGGGATAAAACTAAAATGTTAGAGGTTAATGGATATGTGGGGAAGTTACTATGAATAGGAGATTAGCATGAATAAATAATAACACCTTGTATTTCTGCAGAACTTACCATAACACATTCTGTGCTTTATATGCTTAGCTAACTTTTTGGTTTCCATTTTTATAAATGTACTTTGTCACTTTCTCGGAACACCTGTAATAACTAGGTATCAACACTGGCAATAGCCAGTGGCAATGCCCTCCTGCTGAAAGGAGGAAAAGAGGCAGCCAACACCAACCATGTCCTCCACCAGCTCACCCAGGAAGCTCTTTCCATGCATGGAGTCAAGGAGGCTGTGCAGATGGTAAAACTGATTTCCTACATATTTATTAAAAAGCAGTGAGAACCTTGTGTCATCTTTATAGCACTTTACAGCACACTCTTCTATCTGATGTGATTCACAAACCCGTATTTCTTCCCAGGTGAGCACCCGTGAGGAAGTGGAGGATCTGTGCCGACTGGATAAGATGATAGACTTGATCGTCCCCCGAGGTTCATCCCAGCTGGTGCGGGACATTCAGCGAGCGGCCAAGGGCATTCCTGTGCTGGGTCACAGCGAGGGAATCTGTCACGTCTATGTGGACTCAGAAGCCAGCATTGACAAAGTCATAAAAATCGGTCAGTTAGAACAGTTCCCCCCCATATAAATGCCTGTCAGTCATAACATGCCAGCGACTGACTAATGCTTTCCTCTTCTAGTGAGAGACTCCAAGTGTGACTATCCAGCTGCATGTAACGCTATGGAAACTCTGCTGATTCACCGGGACATCCTCAGGACCCCTATGTTCGACCAAATTATCGACATGCTCCGCACTGAACGGGTAAAATGCCAAATACACGCATTGATAAATTAAGGAAACCTGCGGTTGACTTTCAATGTTACTCGTTTTTAGATACATCACTAGTCATCCAACAAAATGAAAAAGTTTTTTGTCATAATATATTAAAGTTAGAAATAATTTATTTCTGTCTGATGAGACTAGGTGAAGATTCACGCAGGCCCTCGGTTTGCCTCCTACCTGACATTCAGCCCCTCAGAGGCAAAGTCTATGCGGACAGAGTATGGTGAGCTGGAGTGCTGCATGGAGGTGGTGGACAGCATGCAGGAGGCCGTAGAGCACATACATAAGTATGGCAGCTTTCACACAGACGTTATAATCACGGAAAATGGTAGGTGATGCAATATCTCGCTGTTAGTACTTTGTTCTTGCCTAGTCTCTTTCTCTCTCCCTCTTTTTAAATACATTCTACCAATTTGCTTTTTAATTCCTTTGCCTTGTAGTTTCACAATTCCTGTCACATCTTACCTCACCATGACTGAGTAGCACCTGTCAGTTTGGTCATTCTTTTTTTGTTCCGTGTCTTAATATTCATCAAGTTTTCCTTCTCTCTCTGTTGGATTCAGTCCACCTTACGTCTCACTTTCTGCCATAGCGATTAATGAACAGTGACAAGGTGTTGTCAGGATGAGTGCACATCCTCCCTTTGTGACTCTAGATTGTGGACGGAGCCCATTTAAAATGTAGAGCAGCTGATTAACAGTTTAAAAGACTTCTCATAACTTTGAAACATGCTCAGACACACTTCTGTCTTTGAAGTGAGCCGTCATGCTGTGTGTCCTTAACTCATCTTGAAAGAAGCTATCCTGTGCAGTTTCCAGTGTGTTCTCTCACTTTAAGGCTGTGGTCATTACCATGTGGACAAAACTGATGTCTCATATATTTTACAATTTTCTATTCACATGTGGACACTATTTAGTATCGTTTGAATGGTGGGAGCTTAGTTTTTCAGTAAGGCAAAGAAACTCAGGTTCACGTTCCTTTGAAAATATAAATATTAAAAATATGATGTGCTTTTATTCTGGCAGTCAGAATTAACTTTTAAAAAATAAAGCAAAGTGTTTACTGGTAAGATTTCCACCTTGAGGATGATCTCACATGCAGTAGAGGATGTGTTGCTGCCATCTAGTGACTACAGAAGGAACCTCAGTGAATTCCAGACTAATCAGTTTGTATCAAAGTCGGATATTATCAGAGAAGAAGATTGATAAAAATGGTGAATACGCTGTCTTCATTAACCTGCTTGTAGATATATTTTTGGATGGATGTGCACGGTTCACGTGAATTTCAAAGATTATGTCAGGGGACATATCTTTGTTTTCAGGAAAGCCTTAAAATCAGGGATGGGGGAACTCCAGGCCTCAAGGGCTGGTGTCCTGCAGGTTTTAGATGTGTCCTAGATCCAACACAGCTGATTTAAATGGCTAAATTACCTCCTCAACATGTCTGGAAGTTCTCCAGCGGACTGGCAATGAAGTAATCATTTGATTCAGGTGTGCTGACACAAGGTGATATTTAAAACCTGCAGGACACCTTGAGCCCTGGAGTTCTCCACCCCTGCTTTAAATGCTAGTTTTAGGTTTTATATAAGCTTTCAGTCTCATTCAGTGCATTAATGTGTCAGTTTAGCGCAGTTTCTATTCTCATTTCTTTAAATTAAGCCCCAAAAGTGTTTACAGACACAATAGCACTAATGAGATGTTTTGTTCTGTCAGAGGACACAGCAGAGAAGTTTCTTCAGCAGCTGGACAGCGCCTGTGTTTTCTGGAACGCTAGTTCACGTTTTGCAGATGGCTACCGCTTTGGACTGGGTATGTGGTGGTCTTGTGTTGACATCCTCTGTGTTGTTTTCTCTAAACCTGCCTGAATATTTTTACTCATATTTCACTGATATGTTCTCTTCATGTAGTCCTCATTATTTGCACTCTTTCTGTACTTTTCTCTAGGAGCAGAGGTAGGTATCAGCACGGCTCGTATACATGCCCGAGGCCCTGTAGGCCTGGAGGGCCTGCTCACAACCAAGTGGGTCCTGAGAGGTGATGGACACACAGTAGCCGACTTCTCGGAGCATGGTACCATGAAGTACCTGCATGAAAACCTGCCTGCTGGGCAGCCTTTAGCTGGACAGAGAGACAGCAACTAGGCCAGAGAGTCTGACAGCATTCCTTTGGCCTTATTATTATTTTCTCAAGATGATGGTTGACTGTTTTCACTATCTTCAACTTTTGAAGCACATAGCTGCTCAAAACAGCAATGGTTCATTTTATTACTACATTTAAAAAGAGGTTCCTATTTAAGGACTAAGAGTCTGAAAATATTCTACCTCAGCTTAGGTTGGGTAAGTCAATAAGCCCCAATATTAAACTATGCAAAAACCCCAAACGGTGTTTAAACCATGCAAAAAAAAATACTTCACACAGATTGAGATTCGTCATTATTTTCTCATTTGAATTTGCACTGGGAAAACTAATTTTAGTAATGGTATCTTTTAATTAAATTACTTTATTTATTTTTTTAAAGATTTTGGTAGAAAACGATATTAAAACTGTTCATTTATTTACACATCTATTTAATAACTTCAAATTCCTTGCTTGATGTCATTTCTTTTTCCTTTATTTCCTGGTAATATCTCACTTTAATAATGGTTGTCTGACTATTCTCCCACTTTAACCTCCTAGGACCTGGCGTCCACATATGTGGACATCACATTTTGGGTTCTTTAGACCAAAATACTCAATTTTGCTCTACATGGGCCTGATATCCACTTACGAGGACATTATACTGCTACTGTTATATCAAAATTTTAAATGAATATCCTCATATGTGGCTCTTATTTTTCTTAAAAACAAAAATAAGGTTAAAAAAAAATCTGGTAATTCTTTGTTTTTACATTCATCGGGCCCCAATATGCCCAAATATCAAAGAGAAATTAAAAATGCATGACGTGGAAGAGTTCGGGTCTTAGGAGGTTAAGCTGACAGGTCATATGGTCCCTGTCTCTCTATATGAAAAGTGTGGCTGTATGCTGATTACAGATAACTAGCATGCATCTGTCTGCAGTGACTCTGATTAGCTAACATATGTCTGGTACCAAGAAGCCAGAGCCCCTGTTTAATTACTCTGACAGTAACTGTGCAAACTAAGAATCTTTCTAAGCACACATTACTAATGGACTCTAAGTACCTTCGCAGTTACACATTACTCTAATAACCTATAAAAAACACTTCATTGCTATAATTGATATATCAAAAAGAACCTCTAGCAGTGTGTTTTAAACAATCACAGAACATGATTTTTCAGTTTGATCAAAAATATCCAAAAATATTTATAACAAAATGCACTTGTTTATCATTAGAAGTTATCCCAACTTTATTATGTGTGGTCATGGATACACATTGCTAATGGCTTCTCTCTAGCCACTACAGTATTACTATGGTAAAATGATCATTTAATTTAAATTTACATTTAATATTGTAACCTCTCAGTGACTAAGGGCTCAGTGGATTACATCGGTTCATTACCCACGAGGTTCACACTGACTGTACTGTAAGTGCTTTCTTTGTTCAAACAATATTTGTACCCCCCGCTTTAATTCTGGGATGAACTTTCTGTATGTTTCTGATATATTGTCTTTTGAAAATACCCGTGACATTATCAGACATGCAGCTTGTAAATGTATTCGTAAAATCTTACCTAATAGGATTAAAAATATGCAATTCTAGGACATCAGAAAATGAGATTTTCTCTGCAATAATGACACTTAAATACACTCCAATTTACATGCATCCATATATTCCCATATTTTTTTATTTATTTGATTATTTTTGCATGTTGTGTTCATTTTTCCATGCTTTGTTGCTTTCCTGCTTGTTCCTTTTGGCGCCCAAAGCTTCTGTCAGAGCGGGAATCGTAATTGACAAGCTGCCTCCTTCAAGCTGGAGGGGAGAATGCGACTGCCTTTAAATTAAGCTTTGTAACATTCCAGCCTCTGAGCTGCTATCAGATGTCTTGCAATGCACACTTAAGGATTAGTTCGGGTTATTTAATAGCAGTATTGTGGAATAAAAAGTTGAAAAAGAATATTTGGATATTTTTCTTTCTTTTGTCTTTTTTCTTTTTTTTTTTGGCAGATGAAATGTTGAGCATTTTCACATGTATGTTCATCTCTGTCCTGGCACTAGTCTTTCTACTTTCACAAAGAACACAAATTAATGGGGAAAAAAGTCATACTGATCTGAAAAACAGATGTCTAAAAAGGCCCTTTTTAAAGTTGCCCATAGGGGAATTCGCATTGCTGGAAGTGGGGCAAGTAACATGGAAGACAATACTATAGAGGTTTAATTATCCAGCCATCAGAAATGAAAAGGGAGAAAAGGAGAACTGAGACTAATAATGGAATCACAGTCTTATGTTCTGGGTTTCTTGGTTTCTTCTTTTTTCCTTTTTTCTTTTCTATCATCTAAAGAATTCATTCTCCAAAACGCACTACTTACCCTTCAATCAGCTTCCCATCATCAAGTCCAAAGGGTTCAGAGATGAAGAGGGAGACAAAACTCGGATCTCACTCTTTTTTCCTTTTTATGTGTGGAGCGATTGAAAATATCATCTAAATGACTGGAGGTAGAGAAGGAACAATCTAGGGGCATTCAGTATTGCTTCTTTGATACATAATGTTTGATAGAATTGTATTTTACCATCTCTTAAGTGTAAAGAGTTGTTTGTTACAGTAGCTATTGAAGTGCAGGTGTGTGCATCTAGTTCACGTAGTAACAGGGGTTTTCTACGTAACGGAACACTGAGGAGTGTTTCTGTTATGAACCAGGGAGGTTACTAACTGAAACTGCTATTTTAAATATAATTTCCATTTTGCATTGACATAAACCTTTGCAGGACCAGTTTACCCTTCCTGGGACAGGGTTAACATGGGAGAGATGTCTGGTTGCTGGGCCTTAGCCTGAAGCAGCTACATGGGTCTGCCCTCCTGTGGGCCCACTACCTACAGGAGCTGTAGGGGTTCAGTACTATATGGATTGTGACGCATGCAATGTTACTTCACTGGTGCAGTACGTGAGGTTGAGGGATATTAATTCAATATTAATCCAATATTGGCTCAACGCACAATTTAGGCTCTGGAATCAGTTTTGTGGAGAGGAGTTGGACTTGCTCCAAGCGTAATGCGACTGGCAGAGTATACTTGTATCCCCCCAATTTGGTGCCAGCACGTTAAGATATTTTCCAGTGGACAAGATGGTTGCTTCCCTGTACCTTCAGGTCAGAGGACTGGTCCTGATTGTTTTTCTTGTGTACCTGCCAAATGACAGTTCAGAGTACCCAGCTTTGGTGGGGTGTCAGAGTGTTTAATGTGGGGATTTCGTTGTCTTGCTGATTGACTTCAGGGTATGATTGGGAGTTACTGCCTTCCATTACTGATCAAGCATAAGATGTCAATTAGTGCACATTGCAGCAAGACACGCTAAGGTGCAAGTCAGTAATCGAGTTTTGTGATCGTGTCATCAGGAGCTGCAGCTGCAAGATAACTGGTGCCAATTGTAGCAGTAATCCCAGTCACACTGGAAGTCAAAGGAGCTGTCAGGCTGTAGAAAGGGTCTGATTGGGTTGGTCAGCCTGACTGTGTAGGTTACATCGTAGATTCTGCAAAGATTCACCCAAGGAGTTTAAATCAGGCAGTAGGGTGCCCAGAGGGTTTGCAGTTATAACATACCTACGGTTTAGATTTCCCACTGAAGCATAAATCTCTAGTTTGACTGCTGCCCCTACGACCCAAACCCAAATAAGTGGCAAAGAATGCATGGATGGATAAAACTTTGCCCTTGTATTTTACAGATGCCTGGTTGAAATGTTTCCACAGTATGGTTTGTTTTTGAATTCAAGCTTTGACTTGGTTGAAGCTTTCAAAGGAAGAAATATTGGGATGACCAACAATGAAAATACTGTGATATCGCTGAACTGGAAAAGTGGAAGAAAAAGGATGGATGAAAATATAGAAAAATAGAGAAAGTATTGTAACTTTTGTCCTTATCTACCAAGGAGATTTTTCAGTTATGTTAAAAGTGGACAGTGAAGTAAAATTTACTATACGGAATATTATGCAAGATCATTTGCAGTATTTATTTTTTGTTTGTTTGCATGATTGTTTTGGGTTTGTTTGTTTTGGGGAGGGGGGGTTAGCATGCACCCTTTTTTTTAACTGCAACATTATATGCAGAGCAATTTCTGTAGTTCTGTGTATGCCTGAAATGCTTTCCTTACTGAATTTTGTAAATATCTGATGTCGATGTTCCTTTTGACCTCGGATTAACTTCCAGTTATGTGTCAGGCTAGGCAGCCTGTAAGATTTCCTCTCATCTCTTATCTGGCTTTGCCCTGAGACCCCGGGTGATCAGATCCCATGTTGCACTCTGTTGATGTTGTGTTGTCTGCTGGGCATTGTTGTCCACAGATATAAAAAAAAAAATATGATAAGGGCAAATCACTGGACTTGAACAGCAAAGCTGACAGTCCTTTAATTGGACATTACTCAAGGCCAAAACTCATATTTCTTGTTGTGCTTGATCTTAAGAGATTCTCAAATGCACTCTCTGCTGGGGTTCAATTTTTTTTGAATCAATAATTAATGGTCAGTGTTATTTATTCATGTGTATCTTTGCCAATTACGTAGTGTCTAATTAACAATTTCAATAATTGATATTTAGTTCTGAAAGGGTTCAGTATCTTGGGCTGATGAAAAATGCATGAGCAGGGATATGGACTGGGTTTTGTTTTTTGTTCTGAGAGAGCTTGATGCTCGGGGCTAATACCAGGCCACTTTGACTCCAACTCTTTGAGTTGGCACTGGCCTTGTGATGTGGATCTAATATGGGCATCTTTCATGGACCCAAAGCGCTTACTCTGTACCATGTGATCTCATAAAGACTCCAACATGCCCATCCTCAGATACCCTTTTTTATGGTCTTTAATAGTGAACTTCAAAGAATAAGCTTCTGTTTCCTTGATAATTTTTCTTTGTGTATGTGGATCTGTAATATCACGAAAAACTGTAGAAACTCTTGGTATTGTTAGGACCTCAGTGATTCCACTACAGTGTCTAACTCTGTGGCCTGATGAAACTAAAGTTCAATCACCATATTAAAGAGAAAAAATACCCCTCAGATTTATGACAAGCTATATCCCCCTGATCTTTTGACAGTGACAGCTGTAGCAGTCAATAGAAAATTAACAAAGGCTTCCTTTAGTTGACTTTCATCAAGTTTTCATTTATTGTGATTCCAGGAGGACAGGAGGTTAGGGACCGGCGAGGCAAAACATTCTGCTATGGAACGACCAAAGCATTGCTTGAGCACTAAGTTGGGTAGTAATTTTACCCAACAATGCAAAGCAATAAAACGGGAACCCCAACATCCGACGCATCCAAACCCGCATCATTAAAATGTATGATTTCAGGTTTGAACATCACAGTGTTGAGACCACACTGAAACAATACAGCCATTAAGGGAACAAGAGGGTGGTATTCTTAATGATGGGATTAAATAAGGGTTAAAAATAAAAGTAATGGGAATCAGTTGAGCTCAGTGACACGTCTCAGAGAGCCAATGGTGGGACTGGCGCTTCCCCACTCGCTGTGCCTCCTGTATTCTCCAGGACGCAAGAAGTACTGGCGTCCCCTATAGTTGGGGTGTTCGTGCAGCATCCAGTAGCCCTCCATGACATTGACGGAGGAGATATCACGGGTGTGGAAACGCTCGTTCAGGTCTGGGCAGTCTTCCATTAGCTCCATGTTTTGACCGCCAAAGTCAGATCGCTCGAAGATCTTCATCCTGTAGTTCCCATTATACTAGGGAAGAAATAAGAGAATAAGATAATACCACAAATCAAGGTAAAAATGTCTTTTTTGTTGCAGTCAGCCAGGATAAATTATCCTGACTAGTTACCCAGTCTACACTTCGAGATGTGTTAAAATAATCCTGGCTACTGGCATTGATGCTTCAAGTAACAGCAGTAGACATAAGAACCAAATGATCCTGAAGAGAAAATGAGTTTAAACTCACAGGAGGCACCATACGACAGGAGCGGATACAGTCATTGAAGCCTGCCCAGCGCTGGTAGTCGGGGTACTCTCCCTTGTGCAGCATGTACTGGTAGCCGCCATAATTTGGCTTTTCGTAGGCCACCCAGCAACCGCTCTCAACTCTTATCGAGTTACAACGGCTGAAGTAGTTTTGCATCTCGGGGCAGTCAGTACTGCACTCATAGTGACGACCCTGGAAGTTCCTGTCTTCATAGAAGATAATCTGCACAGAACAGATGGCTCAGCATTAGTGTATCACCACAGAGATGTTCCAAAGACCACCGCAGAAATGTAACCGTGTAGTTACCTGTCAGGTTTTCAGGCTCTTAAACACTAATAACATGAACGCTTAGTGTTCACTGTTCAGTATTCTGAGCCAGACTTTTAAAGTTAGTTTTATCTAACAAAAGTTTCTGAGTAGAAAATTTGTAAGTGGAGAAATTTGAAAAAAAGATAAGCTTAAGGGAGTACAAAAAAGTCCCAAAAGATGTGCTAGAAGCAAAGCCGAATAAAATAAAGTATAGCATTTGGTACATTTTAATGAATGAACTGTGTAATACTTTTCACAAGTTCTTTGTCTGTTTTCACAGGAAATAGGACTATAAGATCAATTAAATATTTGAGGCTTCTACTATCCTTGAGAGAAGAATTACATTTCCCTGCACTTTTAGCATTTCTTACATTAATTTATAGGTTATGTAAATATGGTAAATAGTCCTAAAGAACTAATGGTATGTTTAACCCAGAGAGCGATACGTTTTTACTCTTTAAAGGTCTTTTACGTTTCATATGACCAAAAGATGTATATATTTTTACAGCTCGTTATCAGAATATATTAGTTCAACTTAATTATTTATCTATAGTGCTTAACAAATATATTAGATCACGACTCAAAGTCAGTTTTTTGTCACAGCTACCCTAAATTGGCAGTGTTGGTAATGATAAAATGATATTTTTAATGCTAAAATATAGTTATTGTTATTCTCCATTAATTTTTAAATCTACAGTCTTACTAAAAAGCCAAATTAAGTCTTATTTTTTACCAAATTATAGGTATTTACTTGCATTCCTGAAAATAAACTTTTGTTTTAGTGGTTAAATGTTATGCTTGAAGTCCAGTGGGAAAAAGTGAATTCAGTTTGGTATCTCCTAATAAATAAAAATATGCTTTTTAAATATTTGTGTTTTCTTTTTTATATATATAACAGGTGATCTAACAAATTTGTAAAGCACTATATTTACTACACAAATCGGTATACCGCACATCAAATATCAGTGAAACATTACATTTGTTAAATTTCTTCCTTACCTTGCCCATTGTAACTGCGTTAAGTTCAGACCAGACCAGATGCGGGGCTCTCCCAGACCTCTTTATAGACCCTGCTTAGATCAGGGCTTTGCAATAGTGAAACAAAGCTTTGTCGTGTCAGCACAGTGCGCTCTATAGACTTCACAACACTATGGCACTGTTGAGCCACCGCAGCCGCTTTGTCTCTGTCAAAGCTCTGTCTGTCTATGGAAAATACTGTCCAACTGCATTTTCTCAAAGGCCTACAATAAGAGTTGCAAACATCTGCCTTTAATGGCATGAATGTTTGAAACCTGCATGCAGACTGTGAAGCTAGACAGAGCAGCAAACAGTCTGAGATCTGACTTGTATTATAAACCCATTCAAGCAGCAGCCTTTGTTGGTTGAATATAATCAGGAAGCAAATATGCTGCCTTGCTAGAGTGTCACTGCAAGTTGCATTCATGTCTACGTTCAAAAAAGAAAGCTCACAAAGGACATCATTATTTTAAAGTTTTGTGTTTAATGTTCATTTGAGATGCACACGGGTGCAGTTTACATGAGAGTCCTCATTCTCCTGAATGAGCCCACCATGGGATTGTGGCAGCCCCAGTCGCCACAGGCCCTGTACTCTCCAGGGCGAAGGAAATACTGGCGTCCCCTGTAGTTGGGGTGCTCGTAGAAGATCCAGTAACCCTCCATGATGTTGCAGGAGAAAATGTCACGGTAGCGGAAGCGGTCATACACGTTGGGGCAGTCATCCATAAACTCCATTGAGTGTCCCATCATGTCTGGCCTGTTGTAGATCCTCATCCTGTAGGATCCCCTATACTGCATTGTGAAAGAAAACAGGGTAATCATGACTATTATGTTATTTTCAATAGGTGTAATCTCTAGAGAACTCTTCCCACAACGAGCTAACTTTTTAATTCAGTACTCGTACTACTCGGTTTCTTTAACTACAAACGAGATTGAGCAACAACTCTTTCGGAGCATGACAGAATTAGTTTTTTTTTCCTCCTCCCTGAACTGCCAGAAACACTCAATGTGACAAACAGAATTAGAGTGAAGGCACCAAGTCTTATGGGGGGTATGTCATATTCTTTTTAAAGGCTGACTCGGTCTCCTTTGTGGGCCTTGCAGCAGAGACTTTTATGCTATGACCTGTGTGAGTATCTGTAAATGACATCAAAAAGCCAGTGATTGACATCCATATCCAAAGCAGCTTTTGATGTACAAGGTGAGTGTAGCGGGGGGTGGGAGGGTGGGAGGGTGCTACCAATTCTATCTGTCTGTTTGATTGACTTACAGGAGGGAACATCTGGCAGGAGCGGATGCAGTTGTTGAAGCCCATCCACCAGTGGTAGTCAGGGTACTCGCCAGGGCTGAGAATGTACTGGTATCCCATGTAGTGAGGTTTCTCGTAGAGCACGCAGTGGCCGCCGCTGACACGGAGGGAGTTGCAGTAGTTGAAGTGCCTAAAGGTGTCCATGCAGTCACTGCTGCACTCCCAGTGGCGGCCCTGGAAGTTGCGGCCCTCGTAGAAGACGATCTCGAGGAGAGAAGGGAGAGAGAGAGAATACAGTTTATGTTCGGCATAAAGAAATGCTATCTCGTAGACTCGTGAATAGGCTCTCTCTACCAACCCTCTACACTTCTTTACACATTTATTTGCACTGCTTAACAGATGAAAAATAAGGTAACTAAAACCACTGTTTGAGCTGGGGGGGGGGGGGGGTTCTGCTTGTCCCATCCAAACACATCAAAACAAAGACAAAAGAGTATTTCTGCTGCCCTGTCTTCTCCTTCACTGAATCTCCTTCCTATACATGTCTGCATGTTTTCAATTAATGCTATTTTCTCCTTCACCACCTGTCCAAAGCTGTTGCCTTACTGCAGGTGAGCTCATACCTTTCCCATGGTTGTAGGACTGTGGATGTTTGCGCACCGTAGAGTTAGACACACTTAGAGGTCCTTTTATACTCTCCTGCTGACCATGAGGCCTCTGACACATTGGGGACTACTATCTTTACCTTTTCAGATGCCAGCTACTGTTCTCTTTTGTCTCATATCCTATGGGTAACTTATCTCCAAACTGCTAGAGTTTACCTATAGAATTGGCAACCCCCCCTCGCTCACAAAAATGACCACCACACAAGTGCTATTCTGTATTTGCGTGACCCCTGTTCCGCCATGACCTTGTGATGTAGCCTTTTCAAATATAACACAAAGGCTCTTTGGGTGTGAGGCCCCCCTGACAACAAAGCGTCTAAAGTGTACAGCAGCTCAGGTCATTTTTGCGGAGCACTCGCTGAAGTTGTACTCAATGAGGTCATGCTTTTCATTTTGTCTTGCTTGGATGTCACATTGTAACAGTCGCTTTTCATCCGGTCCCAGCTCAAGTTTAGATCGGGGCATTACCGACGAGGTTTAGCTTCTAATTTAACTGTTGCTCAGTTTCCATTAAAGGGAGTTGATGTTGATACTGAGTTGGGCTTTTGAGTTGATGTAATCTAAAGTGATTTGTTGTCTCTTTTTGCTTCCATAGCCTGCAGTTGTACTGTGATGTCAGACGGGACTGGTCTGTTTGCAGATGAACAGACAGGACTGCTCAGTGTGTGTCTGTTTTTGTATGTGTGTGTGTGTTTTTATGATATAAAAGAAGGGGTTCGGGGCATGTGTGCGTTTGAGTCTTTGTATAAAATGATAGATGTTTGGACTTGAGTCTTTGGCTTGTAAGCATAGCCCAGAGCCGAAGGGGAAAAGGCCAGAAAGAGTTGCCGCCATGTATTGTGCTCCCAAAGCCCAGCTGATGCCAGAAAGGTCAGTTCCATCCTTTAGCCTTTCATGGGGATAAAGAGCTCGTGCCCCCTCTCCACTCTGTATGCTTTTTACAGCTTTAACTCTGGAAAAAAAAGGGCTAATGTTTTCAGAAAACACAATAGCCATTATGTTTCTAGGCATAAACACTCCTACCCTGGTAGTATATCCAAAGCCACATGACACTATTTCAATGCTAAGAAACGGCACTGATAAGCTTTTGCTCCTTTGATCACTGATCGACTCGAAACTCTCATAGGCTTCAATAGGTTTCATGTTTGAAGCTCCTCTCTTTTTCTGTGACATAAGTAGACCATTGATATCCTTTCATCATGCTGTGTAGCGTAATTGTGGCAGATTATCAGATGGGATGTTGTTTTGTTTTGTGAGTTTCTGGAGCAAATGTTTACTTTGGGAGAAAGGTTTTTATCGGAATGCATAAGAAACATGTTTAGATTTTTCTCATATGTTCACAGATTAATCATTTCTTTCATCGCGCTAATTAAACGTAAAGCCTTTTTAGCTGCAAGAGGGCAAGAAATTGTACTCCGTCAAATGCTCGTTTAAGCTCTAAGACCGTGATGCATTTGCTAGAATTTATTCTTTTTTTGTGCTGAGGTGTCTTTGAGTTGGGCTACAGCTAAGCCTGACCCCTGACCTATTTGCAGAGAGAAGCGTGTAACTGTGGTGCAATACAGTGTCTAAACTGAGGGAAAAAAGTGATTGCCACTGTCATTACTGTCATTGTTCTCATTTTCATCATTGAGGAACATCAGCTAACCCTAACTCATTAGTCGGGACCTCGCCATGTTTCTTTGGCACCTTGTTTCACGGGCTCTCAAATGATCATCTTTAGCTGTGCTACAAGACATCTCCTCCCCACCCTGAAGGGAAACTAACATCACAGAGACCCTTGCCTGCTTTCTTAGTTCCCCCCGGAGGAGAAGAAAGCTACCCGCTGCGGAGCTTTCCACTCTTCATCTTAGAATGATGGAAGAAAAGGAAAGTAGAGGGGAACAGAATGGGGGTGGAGACAGGGGGGCTGTATTCGCTGCTCCATTGTGTCCGAGGATCTCGTTGCGCAATCTGTGTAATCGCATGGGAGATGACGACACTATTAGCCCACAGAACGACTGTCAGTTGGGGACCTCAGTGATTGATGCACACTCCACGAATAGAGGAGAAACTCTGACAGATAGCAGCCCAACACTAGTTAACTTGCAACCTTTTTCATCTATCTGGCTTCCCAAAGCAAAACCCATTCGTGTTGCTGATACCTAATTAGAATCTGAATGAGCAATTCAGTCAGTAAAACACAGTTTTTTTGGTCAGAGGAGACTTCTTTCAGTATGAAACAAATCATATTCCCTTAATCCAGACAATAGTCTCTCTGACCCTGATACATACAATAAGTGTCACCCCTAAAATGTTGCTGGTGGAGATAGGAGAGCAACCGTGCTTGTGTGCAGTGTGCAGTCATTACAAAAACACTATGTACTGAGGTGTAAACAAGGGTTCTATGTGAGTTTTGCTCCTGAGAACTGGCTAATCTGGTGCTGAAAATGTGGTATGATGGGAAAGCGCTTGCCAAAAAGCCTCCCACGCCGGGAGTAGAATGAGGACCTCTCTTTTGCTGAGAGATCATCCTCTCCATTCTTTCTGTCAGAAAATCTCCAGGCATCCTCCCTGTCTTGTCACTGCCAGCGCACAGGCTCTATCGGGATTGCCAGACGCAGGAGCCACTGTGAGCCCGTGCCAGGGCCAGGATTTACCGCGATGCGTCTGATGTGCTCCATCTTTTTTGCTGGGGGATAATTAAAAGAGGAAATGGTGTTGGAAGAACAGAGTGGAAAAGCAGGAGAGGAGGGAGGGGCCGGGGGCTTGGAATGAGCAAATGGATGCAGCTGTCAATTATGTTGAATTGTTGATATGTTTGTTTTCCTTTCTCTGAGATTTTGTGTTGAACTGTTCTCCATCAGGATTTAGTTTTAAAGTTTGCAGTAAATCTTCAGACTCTACATGTAATTAAAAAAATATATGTAGGCTAATTAAGAACTTCTCTTAGCAATGAAATCACCATAAAGATTTTGTTTTAGTGCGATGCAGGTGCCCACAGGTGATTAGAAAGATACAACTGTTAATGTTGGTTTATGACTTTTTATGACCTTCTGTTTTATCTGCTGTGGCAGTTTTCTCATACCTGGGCCACACTTTCCAACCTCTATG